ACTAACTTACAAACTTAATTACTAATTATCTTATCAACTTATTAATAAACTTATTAACTAACTTTTTAACAAACTTGCTAATTAACTTACAAACTTAATTACTAATAAACTAATTAACTTATTAGCCAACTTTCTAACTAACTTACAAACTTAATTACTAATTAACTTAATTTACTTACGAATTTGTTAACTTAGTAACTTACTTTTTAACTAACTGACAAACTTATTTACTAATTAACTTTATTAACTTATTAATTAACTTACTGACTAACTTACTAACTAATTTACTAACTAACCTACTAACTATAACTAGCCAGCTTACTTAAAAACTTAATTACTAATTAACTTATTAACTAACTTAAAAACTTTCTAAATTACTAATTAAGTAGCTTACTAACTAACTAAGTAACTAACTAACTTATTAACTAACTTATTAAATTAAATACTTAGTAAGATAGTAAGTAACTAAGTTAAGTAAATTAGCTGATTAGAAAGTTAATTAGTAATTAAGTTTGTAAGTTATTTAGAAAGTTAGTTAATAAGATAGTTAGAAAGTTAATTAGTAAGTTAGTTAGTAAGTTAGTTAGTTAGTTAGTTAGTTAGTTAGTTAGTAAGGTAGTAAGTTAGTAACTATGTTAGTTAGTTCGTAAGTTTAAAATTATCCGCCATATTACATCCGCCATTTTGAATTTTAAAAAACTGACGTCTCAAATTTAAATTCAGCGACTATATTCTAATATGTATTAAAAAAAAATCCCCTAAAACGTCTTCCCACGCATTTTTCTTTTTTATTTTTTCAACGCATATCCAACTACGCCGTCATGCCACCCCTATACATATATATATGCGTATAAAATAGTTGTTTGCACGCAATTCAGAATAAAGTCAAAAGTTTATGCGGCTGCCAAACATTCCAGGGTCGATCGTAAAAGTGTTACGAGTACAGCTGTCAAACCGACTCTTATAATCGAAGATTAATCGGCCGGTAGGCGTCGCGCGTCTTCTATCTGTATAAAGAATAAAAAAAAAAATTTAGAATTAGGGTGAAGAAGGGTGAGACTAGAGAAAAACAGGTTAGAAAAAGCTATATATGTATACTAAAAAAAAGGAGAGCTCGTTGTCAAGTTAGGCAGGTAGCTGAACTCCCTCTATTGTTGCCCTTTGTCCCGTGACAATTACTCACAGATTAGATGGAGAATTTGCGATGTGACGACCAACGAGATAAAGGAATTTATAAGAGAGAAATAGAGAGAGGGGAGGGTGGGGGTTGGGGGGTAAATCTACAGCGCGGTTGATCTTTACATTTACGATTACCATTACCGCACACCTTCATTTCCCAATCCCGTGAAATATTGTCTACTTAACAAGAAATATGTACATATACGTTTATTTATATATATTGTCCTCGATTTTTCGTTTCCTTCTTGGTCGGATTTTTTTTCTTGCAGGAAATAATAATTCTTCCGGTTTAATCAAATTAATTCATTTTTTGCGTAATTTACATTAATGTTGCTTAAATGACATTAATTTTACACGAGTTACATTAATGTTGCATAAGTTACATTAATGTTGCATAAATTACATTAATGTTGCATAAATTACATTAATGTTACACAAGTGACATTAATGTTGCATAAATTACATTAATTTTACACAAGTGACATTAATGTTGCATAAATTACATTAATTTTACACGAGTTATATTAATGTTGCATAAGTTACATTAATTTTACACAAGTGACATTAATGTTGCATGACATTAACTTTACACAAGTGACATTAATGTTGCATAAATTACATTAATTTTACACGAGTTATATTAATGTTGCATAAGTTACATTAATTTTACACAAGTGACATTAATGTTGCATGACATTAACTTTACACAAGTGACATTAATGTTGCATAAATTACATTAATTTTACACAAGTGACATTAATGTTGCATAAATTACATTAATGTTGCATAAATTACATTAATTTTACACAAGTGACATTAATGTTGCATAAGTTACATTAACTTTACACAAGTGACATTAATTTTACACGAGTTACATTAATGTTACACGAGTGACATTAATGTTGCATAAGTTACATTAATTTTACACAAGTGACATTAATTTTACACAAGTGACATTAATGTTGCATAAGTAACAGTATTATGTTGATAAGTTACATTAACATTACATTGTCTGTGCATTTGCACTCATCTTTTTCAATGGCATTGTTCAGGTTCACTCTATCCCATCCGGGATTTTAGAGGTCCCCAACACTAACACAAGATTTTCTCAACTCACTGATATACATAGAAAGGCCGGACCTCCCCCAATCGACTTCTTTCATGAGGTCGAAGAAAAACTGCATTTGATGTATTGGAACTTTTATGTTTTCCTAGAAGGGCTTTACGTAACAGACATCCCTTTATCGCACGAGGATCGGTAAGACTTTTCTTCTTAGCGACATTTCGTTTCTTCTTTTTATATAATATATATTTATTTATTTCATATCCAGGTGAGTGTCAAATTTTTTCGATTTAATTCAAGTTACAGTCATTCTAGTTTTTTATTCTCCATATATAGAAAAAAATGAAAAAAATACTTTTCAACTTTTTTTTTTTTAGAAAAGAAAAAGTGGTTTATTATCGACAAAGAAAAAATTTTTAAATTAAGAATTATATAACTAATTAAATTTTTTTTTAGGATAGAAAACAATTTGCAAAATTCCTATTTTTTAATCACAATTTTTGTAGAAAATTTTCTTTCTTTTCTATATTTGCAAAATTTTTAAACAAAATTTCAATCTTTTTTTTTAGAAATAAAGAAAAAAAATTTATAATTTCAATTTGAAAATCGCAACTTTTAACGGAAATTAAAAAGCTGAGAATTTTTAATAGATTTCTATAAAATAAAAAAATTCGATTTGTCAATCACATTTTTTAAAAAAAAAATTTTAGTTTCTTTTATACAAAGATTTCCATAATTTTTATTTTTTGATCCCAATTATTAACGAAACTATAATTTTTTTTCAAGATGTTAATGAAAAAAATTGCATAATTTCAATTTCATAATCACAATTATTATCGAAATTATAATTTTTTTTTTAGAAATTAACAAAAAAATTGCATAATTTCTATTTCAAAATCACAATTTTTATACAAACTCCTATATTTTTTAAAAAAAGAGAATAAATTTGGACTCTACTTATATTTTTCAACAAACAATGTTTTCAATAATAATAAAAACGACTTTCAATCGTTTTTTTGAAATAAAAAATAAAAATTTGCTTAATTTATATTTTTTTATCACAATTTTTACCAAAATCTCAAGTATTTATTTAAAAAAATTAAGAAATTTGCTGAATTTTTATTTTTTTTTAAATCATGATTTTTAACAAAATTCAATTTTCTTTCAATAAAGGAAAAAATTGGCATAATTTTAATTTTAAAAGATAACAAATTTAAAAAAAAAAAATTCAGTTTGAAATGAAAAATTATCAAAATATGAAAATCATGCAAATTTTGTTTAATTTTTTTTCTATAAGAAAATTATTTGTTTGACAAATTGGAATTCATTCTAGTTTATTTTCTTATTTTCGTTTCTAAAAAAAGAAAACATTAGAAAATTCTTAAAAAATTATTTTTAATAAAATTCTATTTTCATAAATGAAAAAATCAGCGTAATTTTTATTTTATAAGAATAAATTTTATAAAAAAAATTCAGAGTTTGATTAAACGTAGGAAAAATTTTCCATAAAATTCCTATTTTTTTAATCACAATTTATTTAAAATTTAATATTTTATAAATTTCAACAAAATTCTGTTCTTTTTGAAAAAAAAATGAAAATATTTTGCAGGATTAATATATTTCTCATTAATTACAATTATTTAACAGAATTCTACTTTAGAAATGAAGGAAAAGAATTTTTATAAATCACACTTTTTTATATAAAATTTTCATTGTAAAATAAAAATTATATATCAATTTTTTTTTTGTTTTGTTCTGTGTTTAGTATTTTTCTTTTTAAAATAATTCAATTATTTTCATAAATAATAAAACTCATCGCGAATTTCAATTATTTTTAATTCAATTTTAATCGAATTTCTCGAAAAATGTAGTTATTCTTAAAAATTTTATTAAAACTCGTCCAAATAAGAATTATTTTATAAGAATTTTATAAGAATTTTTATATTTTTTATAATTTTTATAATTTTTATAAGAATTAAATTTTATGAAACATTCAATAATTATTTAATAAATAATTTACTTTTGTTTTTTGTTTTTTGTTTTTGTTTTTGTTTTTTTTAATTGGATAATTGAATTCTTGTAGAATTTTTTTTTTTTTTAAATGAATTTTAGTTGAAATTTTAGATAATAATTGAATACGAAAATAATTTTTAAGAAGTTACAGTTTCAATGTTTTGAAGAATTTTTAGAATTTATATTAATATATTAATAAAAAAAATATATTAATAAAAAAATATATATATTAATTATAATAAACATTTTTTTCCTTCATTTTTAAAAAAAACTTTGATTTTTATTAAAACAATCGTAATTATTAAGAAATAATGTAAATTATTTTCTTATGAAAATTGAATATTTATAAAAATATTAAGAAACTGGAATTTGTAATATTTTTTTTTCCAAAATAAAAGAATGATAGTTTGTGAACAATTAAGAAATAAAAAAAATTATGCCTAAAATGTGTATACATTTATTTTCTATTTCCAAATCATAATTTTTTAACAATTAACAATTTTCTATTTTTTTTTTTTTTTTTAAATAAAAAGGAGAAAAAATTTGCATAATTTAGATCAGTCAAAGGAAATTTGTTATTAAAAAAAGCATTAATTTTTTTTGCATGGATTTTTTTTTGTCAGAGAGTTAGTTTAACAGTTCCATAAATTAGATTACAAAATGATGGCAGTTTTTTCGAATCAAAGGATTAAAGGTAAAATGTTATTTCAGAGTGGGGAACAAATTAAAAACCGAAATATCAAAATTCGATTAAAACAATATTTATTGAATGAGAAACGGAATTTAGTTCGTTTCAAAAATACACCAAATTCTTTCAAGTGTAATTAATAATACATTCGTTTATTTATTATTATTATTATTATTATTATTATTACATTCTCATCATATGAGAAAGTATTTTTATTATTATTATTTTTTTTATTCTTAACATTAGCCACTAGGCGAACCAGTATAGTTGATAATAGTTGTAGTAGTTGTCATATTGAAGCATACTCCTTCTTCACAGTGCTAAAGAAAAAAAAGAAAAATAACTTTAAGAAAATTTGTGGTTAAAATAATATATAGGGGAGTGTGTCCAGTTGTAAGACAGTCAATTTTTTTTTTTTTTTTTTTTTTTTTTTTTTTTTGTTAACACGCAATATTAAAAAGCCGATTGCGTTTCTATAAAAACATTTTCCCTATATTGTAAAAATTATTCTTACTCCATTATTAGCGCAGGGCGCACCATCTTCAGCAACAATATCTTTCGTGTCATCAAGTTCGCCATTATTTTCCAAAGTTACATTTTTTTCGTTCGAAACATTTTTTTCTTTTTTACAAGTAAAAATGCAGCCGTCATTAAACTATAGAAAATTGAAACAATGAAAATAAAAGCAGGAAGCATGTTGAGAAAAATAAATTAAGTTTATAAAATTCCGAATATGTTTATTATTCTAATACTAACATCTGAATCGAATATCATTTGGACTTCAGCACATCGATCAGCGGGTGATTTAATCTAGAAAAGAGTAAAAAAAAAACAAATTAAAAAAAAAAAAGTTGACAAATTTTTTTTTTGAAATAATTTTTTTTTATTAAAATTTCCAAAATCCTCATATGGAATCCTATAGAAGTCCATATACATATTCCTATGAAGCAATTTTTATAGAAATCTATCCAAATTTACAAGCGAATACTAAAGTTTTTATTTTCAAATTTTTTTTTTCATGTTCCAAAATTTATAATATTGCAAAATTATTATTATAAATTAGAGAAAAATTACCTGATTCGCGTTGGTTGATTGTGCAACGAGTGCACAAAGTAAAATATACGTGTAAATCATTTTCTGCTCACTTTTTTTAAAGTTTACTTTTTTAGGAACTTTGATGCAGCAGGTTGAAAGTGCAATGTATGAATAATTTTTTATTTTTGAATGCTTCTGCATTTATAGAATACAAAGTATATTAAAAAATTATCGCAAAATTTATTAGCTCCAAGCCAGTAGGAATGTTGCAAGTGCTTCGTATTATTTGGCAAAAAGAACATTTTTCGAATATAGAGACAGAAAAAAATGTACAAGTGCATTAAAAATTTATGGCAATTTGATAACTGTTGAAATAAACCTTGAAATGAATTTATCTTTATACGTGAAGAAGTGGTTAAAAAAAATTAATAATCTGTTTAGAAGAATTTTGAAAAAAAAAATTAAGTGATATTAAATAAAGAAAAATTTTAAAAAATGTACCTACGAGAATAAAATAATGTACGAAAAGGATAATTTCCAAATTACATAAATAAATAAATCAAAAAAAGAAAAAAAAAATTTAAAAAAAAAAAAAAATTTTTTAAATACAGAAAAATATAAAAAATGTACCTACGAGAATAAAATAATGTAATAAAGGATTACTTTCAAATTACATAAATAAATAAATAAAAAAAAAAAAAAAAAAAAAAAAATTTTAAATACAGAAAAATATAAAAAATGTACCTACGAGAATAAAATAATGTAATAAAGGATTACTTTCAAATTACATAAATAAATAAATAAAAAAAAAAAAATTTTTAAATAAAAAAAAATAAAAAAAAAAATTTTTTTAAATACAGAAAAATATAAAAAATGTACCTACGAGAATAAAATAATGTACGAAAAGGATATAATTTTCAAATTACATAAATAAATATAAATCAAAAAAAAATATAAAAAAATTTAAAAAAAAAGTATTTTAAATAAAAAAAATTAAAAATGTAAAAAGAAAATGATATTAAAATTAGCAATTACACGCGCAAGTTATTTTAGCCATAGTAATTAATATTTTTATATTTTTATATTGAAGAATAATAATTAAAAAATAAAAGATTTATTCCATTTTTTAAAGAATTTTTTCATTTCCCTCAAAATTAAATTTATTTTTATTATTTCTAATACATGAAAAATATTTTTTTGGACATGACGATGAATGAGAGAATAAACAGTGTTCTATATATAGTCATAAATCATTTAAAGTATCATTAAGTTTTCTCTCTTCTTTTTTTTTGCGACTACATACTGCTATACATATATTTTTGTGTGTGTAAGAAGAAAAAGAAAAGAATAGAGACTAAATAGAAAATAGAATGTTGAGATGATGCTTTTTAAGAAAAGTGCTTTAACGTTGACGTAAAACGCATCGTTAGATCACGTGGAGTTTAACGGTGAAAGTAAAAGGGGAAACTGGATACGTCAAAGAACACCCCCACAGGATGGCTTTAGGATACTCACTCATCTTGCCTTCTCCCTAATATTTGTCGTCAAAGATTAATGTTGGCACTGATGGTTCTTATGCGGCCTTCCCCTGTCGTTATCGTCGTTATATTCGATAATTTTTGCGTTGACAATATATTCATTAAAAAAAAGACTCTAGACTTTATGAGATATGTATATATAAATATATTTTTCTTATCATATCAATCAAAAACCATTTCTGAAAAAAAAAAATATTGGAAGATTTTTTTTTTTGAGTTGCTCAGAATGAATTAAATAATAAAATAGTTAATAAGAAACTTTGAGAAGAATCGGAGATATTTATTTCAAGCAAAAATAGTAAATTGTAAAAAAAAGTCCGCCATATTGGATCCGCCATTTTGAATTTTGAAAATCTGAATGCTTTTTCGTAATCAGCGACCTCGATAACCCCCGAGTGACGTGTTTCAAGGAAGTTTGTAAATATTTTAAAAAATAGTCCGCCATATTGGATCCGCCATTTTGAATTTTGAAAATCTGAATGCTTTTTCGTAATCAGCGACCTCGATAACCCCCGAGTGACGTGTTTCAAGGAAGTTTGTAAATATTTTAAAAAATAGTCCGCCATATTGGATCCGCCATTTTGAATTTTGAAAATCTGACATCAAAATCGTAATCAGCGACCTCGATAACCCCCGAGTGACAATTTTCAAGGAAGTTTGTAAATATTTTAAAAAATAGTCCGCCATATTGGATACGCCATTTTGAATTTTGAAAATCTGACTTCAATAATGAATAATAATAAATAAAATAAATAAAATGGTGCTCTTGGTTAATATTGTAATAATATGATGTCAGAACTCGTAAGAAAATCGGTAATATGTTATTGTTCAACTCGAGTGAGTTTCTTTAGAAATTTAGTAAAGAGCCCCTTCACCAATCTTTTGTCATGATTTCTCGTGAATCGACAACACATAAGCAAAGTATATATAGAGGAATTGGCGGGATATCTAAAATCTTGAATCTTCGACCCCAAGACACACATCTGTTCTCAAAAATTCGACAATATATTTCATTCACTTTTTTCTCTCTCTCTCTCTCTCAACTTTATGGAAAAATCTTCATCAAGATGATCTTACTTATACGATGTTGATACTTGAAGGAAAATTTTTCAAAATAGATTTTTATATCCATTGTCAATTGAATTTAAGAAAACCCAGGCGCGAAAGACCAATGCTGACGATGGATTGAAGATTTATTGAGCCTTGAACGCCCAGCCTGGGTAACCCAGTGTTGAAGCAGTCTTTATACCACTGTCACTCAATGTTGATTCAGCATTGGACACCAATGTTCGTTCCATGCTCGATTCAAGACTCGGTCAATCTTCGTGAGTGAAGCTCGAACATCTGATCTTAATTCAAGCCTGAATCAATCTTGACAGTTTATTTATTGACGTGTGCACTTAAAAATATTAAATATAAATATTTATAAATTAATTAATATTAAAATATTTTTTATGATAATTTTGTATACTATTTAAAAATTATTATTAATTATTATTATCAAGATATCAATTGGTAAATAAATATTAATATTTATTTAGTGTATAATATTTATATTAATTATTAATTTATTAATAATAATGATTATTATTATTATTATTATTATTATTATAAAAAAATATTAAATTAAAAATAAATATTAAATATTATTATTATTATTATTATTATTATTATAATTATTATTATTAATTATATAAGATTTATATAAATAAAGTTAAATTATACATTATTATTTTTTTCTTGCACAGTGTCAAATAATTGTTTTCAAAGTTCAAGAGTTTCGTTTGTCTGAAAAATTTTTAGTGAAAAAAATGTTCATTAGGGTGTAATAAATATTTATGCCTAGTAGTTTTACACTAGGATTAACTGTTTAGTAAATATGTATTATCAAAAAACTATTTTTTGTCAAACGCGTGCGATTAAACACAAATAACCTTGAGACTTTAGCATTGCCAACTCAAGAGTTTAACGTATGTGTTGAGTTGGTAATGCTGGAGTTTCAAGGTTATTTGTGTTTAGTCGCGCGCGTTTGACAAAAAATAGTTTTTTGATAATATTTACTAAACAGTTAATCCTAGTGTAAAACTACTAAGCATAAATATTTATTACTACCTAATGAACATTTTTTTCACTAATAATTTTTCAGATAAACGAAACTCTTAAACTTTGAAAATAATAATTTGACACTGTGCGAGAAAAAAAATAATATATAATTTAACTTATAAAATTATCATAAAAAATATTTTAATAATAAATAATTTATAAATATTGATATTTAATATTGTTCAGTGCACACGGTAATAAAGAAAGTGAATATTGTATCAAGATTGACCGAGTCTTGAATCGAACATGGGACGAACATTGGTGTCCCATGCTGAACAAATATTGAGTGACGCGCCGTATATACAGAATATACGGCGCTGGCATTGAAATAGTAGATTAGGCGAGGTGCCTTCCAGCCTTCTGTGGCCGAGCGGTTTAAATGCGTGCGTTTAGAACTTCCGGTATGCGTTAGGGGCGGGGTGCGTGAGTTCGATCCCACATGCGAGCGAATATTTTTCATTCTTTGTTTTAAGCGTTATATCTAATAATAAAATTGTGTGTTGTGTTGTGAATAAAAAATGTGAATATGTTTGTAAATAATATTAAAAAGTCTGCTGAAAAATCGAGAAAAAAATGTACCGATTAACAGAAAAATAGTTTTCTTTTACTAAAATTATTTTTTTAATATTACTATTTCAAATGACATTTATTGTTAGTAATATATTATTTATATGATAATAATATAATTATTATAATAGTAACTTAATGCCATTAAATTAACAAACGCATATAATATGAATAAAAATAATAACAATAATATTCATTACTATTATAATTATAATTATTACTATTATTATTATTATTATTATATACAATTCATATATCCATATTATATTGAATGAGCGCGAGAGACGCCTAAATTTGGGAACAGTGGAAGCAGCCTTGTTTCAGTCCTGCATTAGGGTTCCGCAGCATTGATTGAACATTGAACGCCAATCTACAACAAAGACTGGAGCGTCAGTCTTAAATAAGTGTTACATTATAGCTAGAAGCAACCTTCGTTCCGCCGTCCCACCAAGGCTTGATCAATGTTGACCAAGCCTCAACGAAGGTTCCGTAAAGCCTGAATCCAGCGTCAGTTCTCGCCTGGGAAGGAAAAAAAAATAAGATGCGGCAAACAGGACAATGTAAATGTAACGAAATTCGACCTAATTTTTTTTTATTTTCCCCTCTCAATAATAAGCTGAGATTTTGAGATATCTTTAATAATCGAAAATACGAGTATTTTTTTATATAGTTATAAAAGTTTTATATAGTTTTTTATAGCTACAAAAAAGTTTTTTTTTAATTTTCTTTTTAAACTTTTAATTTTATTTTCTCTAAACAAAAATAGAAAAAAAATTGCAATTTTTTTCCTTTGTTTACTAAAGGGTACATTGACCCTAATATTTCTACATTAGAAAGAGGACATATTTATATATATTTATATTTATATTATATTTATTATATTATTATATTATTATTTATTATTTATTATTTATTTATTTATTATATTTTTATTATATTATTATATTTTATTATTTATATTTATATTATTTATATTTATATTATATTTATAT